AGACGGACAATTGAGTCAAGCGCGGTAGTAAGTAAAGTGCGTGAATCGTTCGTTGAGAATTAGAGTGTGTGTTCAAGTGACTGTGGAAATCAAGTGTATTGCAAAGTCGAACAGAGACGCAACAATACATATAAAGCTAACGTCTTATGACAGTATTACTTTGACGTTTTGTTACATCTCAGAGTATTTCTTCTAGCTACGACGGAAAAGCCCAAATGATGTTTCGAATGGCACGTGTGGATCATTCACATCATGATTTAAATAATAGGTTCTTATCAACTGAAATAAGTTCTGTTTTAATTTATATCAACCTTTTCCCTCAAATTTCTAAAAAAAAAAAAATGCTTAATTTTGTATATTATACAACAGAGGGCAAAGTAGTAGTAGCATAGTAGCATGGCAGCGGTTCTAACGTTAGCCGAAAAGGTGTGATGAAACATTTATTATAATCCTTAATATATGTTTTAAACGTTCTCTAGAAACCAAAGAAGTATGTAGAATAGTTAAGCTAGTAACACTGGTTATATAACAAATAAGGTTGAGGCTAGTAGTTGCCTTGAGACTTACTTATTAGTTAAGACGTTTAACTTTGTAAGTTAAGTCGTAATCTCAATCTCTGCGTCTGTATAGCCGTGAGACTAACGTAATGCTTTTTTATTGCTATAGCCTCGGCCTAACCTATAGTATACGTAACTATTAGTATTACTGTTAATATTGGACTTTGTGAACTAGTTGACTGAGGGCCTCATCTTTGAATTTTGCATTTTTTGGCGTAATCTGATTTTCTTTTAAAACGTAATCCACTTACTTTGTAATTTTAACTCTTATTCTTATTAATGACAATTGTTTTGCTTTTTTTGAGATTTTAATTTTAGTTAAAATCATGAAGCACTTAGGCTAAAGTTACTGTTAAGTTAAAATTATTGTCTGGTAATATATTACTGCCATGTAAATAATTATTTGGGTAATTTGGTATAAGTTATTTTCAACCAAATGACATTACATCATTGGCCAAAGATTATCACACTTTATCAATTATATAATTTATATGTTACTGTTAGTTCAAACGATTATGAATTTTAACTAAGAATGCACCATTTGTTGATAAGTGCTGTTGGTAAGTAAAATGTTGGTTTCTGGTATTTCATAGTATATATATATAAATATATATTGTCAAAAGTGTCCCATCAGTTTATCAGAAAATATCTGAAATCATTAAACGTGGTATTATTTTGTTCCTGTCTGGTTATTCTTTCAAAGTGGTGCACCTACAGGTTACAGTTGCACATGCTCAATCAATGACACGACTGAAAAAGTATCGATCTTATTATGTGCTAACTATTATAAAAAATACTGCTACTTTATTAAAATAAATGAGTGATTAGTGAATTTAAAAAAAAATTACATTTACAGTTAAAATTAGTTGATTCATAATTCACTGTGCCCCTTGTGGCTCAGTGGAAGTTTGAGGGCTTATGATAGTAAAAATTGGGTTTTGATACTTGTGGTACAGCACAGCCCATTGTGGAGCTTTGTGTTTTACAACAAATAAGTAATTTATTACACTATACAAAAACAAAAAGGTTAAAAATTATGGACCATTCTGCACTCTGGACTATGGACTTTATCCTTGTAATTAGTGTAAACTGTTGCTAAAGTAATACTTTATGCCCATTTTAAATTAACTCTGTGGGTAGTTTGATAATAAACTTGAGGAATTAAAAGGGAAAAAACAGCATTACTGATGTGGGAAACAGTTTAAATCCTCTATATATTTTTTACTTTTAACTACATCAAAAATATGTTACACCATAAATCAAAAAAGTTAAACATGCATCTTCAAGGCATAAGTCAAATTCAAACAATCTGTTAGTATTATGTAACATCAGTTCTATTATTTGAATCTTAAATTAACAGTAATAACAGTGTATACTTAAGTTTTTAATATTAAAAATGGCCTAGTAATGGTACAAGGTTTGTAATTTTACTGTATTTTCTATAATTAGTTATGACATAACTTTTAATTTATAAATGTTTTGAGTATTTGAAGTTACTCAAACTCGTATACTTAAACAAAACCTGTTAATTAGTAATACATGTATTAAGTCTTTTTTTTTATATGCATCCATACTAAACAGTGAAACGCCACTGCCATTTTCATCTCATTAGTTTGAACAAAATTTTTTTTTATTATAAAATTTGAAGCATGCCATCCATTGGAAAAATATTTTTCAGTTGTAGGATCAGAAAAGCATGACAGTCTGTATTTTATTCACCAAACTGGTCTTGCATCTCGTGTTATGATTTTTGCAGAGATTGTTACTGTATGAGTAAATATTTTCAATTGCATAATAGAACTGCAAATTATATTTTAAAACTAAAAGCTCAATCAAGTATTAGTATTTTTTTTTACTTACCTGCAGTGCATGTGCTTTTGTGTTGCACTTTCAAAAGTTTCTTCCAGACAGATGTGATATCCCTAAGTAGGACAGCAGTAAGTCTATGAACTTACAACACCAGAATCTGGGGCTTCACTTCCCTATGGTAGACACATCAAATAGCTCATTGTAGTTTTGCTCTAAAAACAAACAAATACACGAGATGGGTGGGGCAAAACATAAACATATGTAAATACAAACTAGTTAACATAATAATAATAAAGAAAAGCAATCATGAATAGAATAATACAAGAGCATGTAAAAGTGACAAAGAAACCTTTTTTTTGTAGCTTACTAGTGTTATAAATCATTAGTCAATTGTATGTTAATGTGATGTTTTGATAATAGGTACACAAGGAAATAGCAAAGAAACTAACAATCTAACAAATTTGCTTTACTTTTGCTATGCCCATTGTGTTATCAGGAGAGTTAGCAAATCTTGAAGATATGAGAATTATCTGCTGTAAATTGGACAACTGAATTAGTTGGAGATACTGACCAAATGTGGAAATTTTTTGAATATTCAACATAGGCATATTCCTTATAGATGATGATGATGATAAAAAAAGGTGGATGCAAGTAATAAAGCCAGGTTGACTTACAAAATTAAAGAAGGCATTATAATCATAAATTTAAATTGGCTGCAATAATGGAAGATTTGGAGGATGGTAGCATCCCAGTTTGTCTACTCCCATTGAAAATAGACTAAATGGGAGTAGAAGAAATTGGAATAAACCTAAAAAATAAATCAAGTTGTCAAATATAGAATAAGGTTTATGTACAAAAATCACTTTGTCACAGTTTTGTAAACAAAGCATTTTTGTGTTTATATTGTTTACAATACCATGCAATAGATTTAAAACATTCACACATCAACAGAGTGGTTGGCCTTTGGAATGGATTGCCTTCAGATGTGATGTAGTTAATTTAGAGTATAAGGAAAAGCTTCATAAATATTTGAATGATGAAGACTGGCTTTGAGTTTTTTAGTGTTTAATCTAGTGGATAGGACAACCTAGATGTACAAAAATGTCCCTTTTTGTCTTTTATAAATATAGTATGCATGATGTTAACTCCAGTAATCCATTCATTGTATTTGCTACTCTTCAATTGCTTCTTTAATGCTTGAATTCATTGTATCTAAGTATTCATCAAACTGGAAGCACTAGATGTTTCTTTGATTTGCCTGTTTGACACCTTGTCATTAATGTTAAAGTTTTGTGCAGTCTTATTCAACTTGTGATTTGCTTTGTTGGCAAAAAAATTATTAAAATAACACCTGAAGATTCTTTTATTTTTCCTCAGTTTATGTTTGAATAATTGAAAATTAAAAGAGTCTGAAGCCTCTTTAAGGTAAAGTTTATGAATTAAATTGATAAACCATTTGTCATTTGGCCACAAAATAAATTGTTTAGTTAGATACTTGACTAAAGAACTTCTGGACCTAGAAGAATTTCTGAATTGTAAGTGGATTTTGACAAGAAAAAAAAAGATAGAGCAATTATCACCATGTTTCAAAGACAATTTTTGCACTAGGTGAAATGGAACATTTAATAAACTTAGGTAAATATTTACCTTGTACACGTGCTTGACAATGTTTGTTTCAATAAATGTTATCACTTCAACAACTTGTTCCTCCATTTTGTAAATACATATCCGGAGGGAAGGGTTCTCACAAATTGAGCTATATCTACAGTATTGATTGGATGATGTGAATCAAGCCCCATGATGAGAACTTTGATAATGAAGACTTCAGGTGTTAGTGAAGCAATAAGGAACTAGTGTAATATAATGATTGTATTTTGTGAGTTAGCACGAAATCAACAGCAATCATTAAACTGTCAAGAAAATGACAAGAATACTGAAAAAGTAAACACTGTATGACAACAAGTGTGACCTGAAGAAATTGAGCAACAATGTGGATATTCTTGCCTTGAGAGTGTTACACTTTTTCATTCAGTATAAAAGCATAAAAGAATATGTGACTTGAAGTCATTTATCCCATTGAGATTACCCTTTACAACAATTTTAGGATGCTGTTATTATTACTGGTAATTTAGTTTGGTTACTGGTAATTAATAATCAACAACTGTCATAAGATAGAGTTAAACATGCTGTTTCTAATATTATTTTAAGAATTATTAGCATTAGTACACTATCAATTTTTAAATCAAATTTGCTATACCCAAATCAAAGTTATGACAAAGCAAATTGTGTAAGTTTATGTAATTGTTTTTGTTTTTGAAACAGAGCTTATATCTTGAAGGAAAATTAAGTTAATACATGAACACTACTCCAACTTAAACCCAGTTTACTTTGTCATAAAAATAGCTTCCAAACAAAAACAGAACACCAACAATCTTAAAGTGTGCTCATGGGTTGTAAACAGACACATGAGGTAGATGGGTGAAGCACAGACATTGAGGGCCTAGAAGCCTGTTAAAACTGGTTCCTAAATGTAAAGCCATTACACATCTGCTGTTTGCACACACAAAAACACCACCATCACATCACTCTGGATGATTTCCAAATATTTGATTTGGACTATTTTATAAAACTGATGTTGATCTTAGAATTTAATTTACTTTCTTTTCTTTTCACTTCTGATTTTCCAAAGTGTAATGACTAAAATGTTTCATATTAAATTTCTACAGATTCATTACATACGATCCAAAATGTCTGGAGTAAAATGATTATTTTCAATATCACCATAAATAAAATGAAGGGGTATTGAAACCGAATTTTTAAATAAATTCTTAGTAAATTACTCGTATAATATATTTTGTGTTTGTTTCTCTAAAATGCACATATCAATCTGTGCGTTTGGTTATGGGTATTTTCTGTTTACATTAATTAACCCTAAAATTATGAAGGGTATGTAGAAAGAACCACAGAGTAAGTATATTTTTTATTCACTCGGAGTATAAGTTAAGAAAAAAGAATTAGGGCCTTGGCTTTGAAAAAGACTACAAGTAAGTTTATTTAATT